AGCACCTCCGGCACCCTCGGGGGGCAAATGCGGGAGCCACCCCCGATCGCCCACGGGGCGGGCGGGCGCGGCGAGGAGCGGCCCGGGGATGCTCTCCCGGGGCTCTCTCCCCTCGCCCGTTTCCCGTCTGCGGGCTGCGAGCGAGCATTGTGTGCAGGGGACTGGGCAATGCATTCCTACCCGCCTGATCTCTCTCTCTCGGCTCCCCTTCCCCTCCTTTTCCCTTTTTCCTACTTACTTTTCACACCACTCTTCCTTGCCTTTCCCTGGAACAGCTGCCGGCTGTTTCCTGACACCTCGATCCTTACTGAAGGATCTTCCTGGCGGCAGTTCTGCGCTCCCTGTTCCCTGGGTGACGCTCCACACCAAACCCGAGAGCGACTAGTGAAAGAAGTACCCCAGCCCCCACTTCCTTTCCAAAGCATCCCAGAGACATCCTCAGGGGCTCCTCGAGTCACCTCTTCCATGTAACCCAAGATTCAGGCAGCCAGTTTCCTCCCTTCTCTTTCCCCCTAAGTAGCTAAAATTGATGTTATTTGCAGATTGAATGTTGCTACATTCCTCCGAGTGCCAGAATACAGCTCATAAAACACAATTTCACACAAAGATGAAGTCAATCAAGTGAAATAAGCCGGGATTTTTTTTCTCTGTTGGCACACTAGACCCTGGACAGCAGGGCTGCTATTTACTGTAAGTAATGTAATTAGCCCTTTTGGATGGAAATCAATGTGTTGTATGTGTGTGTGTGTTTTAATAAGAGAGTAATAGCTATAAAACCAACGATACTCAAAGGGGTAAGGGAATCTCCCTTTAAACGGGTAGATCACTCCACAAGCCGTAGGCTCCTGCAGAGCACTCCCGGTCTGGAAAAAAAAAAAAAAAAAAAAAGGAAAAAGGAAGGGAAAAAAAAAAAAGGAGAGAAAAAAATCCGTGTGTGGGGAAGGAGGAGGGAGAGACAGGCTTTCCTTGGAGAAAACAAGTCAATTAGCACAACAAGCCATCAGGAAAAAATAAACAAGGTGATTCAATCCGGGATACAGGAGCTGTTCGCTCGGGATCCCCCTCCTTCCCCTCGGGCCTCCGCGGTGCCCCCATTGCTCCGGGAGACGGGCGAAGTTTCTTCCTGCTCGCCCCAAACCCCGCCGGGGGGGCGGGAGCACGGCCGGCAGCCCACGCGGGACCGCGCCGCCCGGGCCAGCCAGCGAGACCCGTTGCGGGGACGGCGGCTGTACCGAGCGCCGCGAAGCTGCCTGGGGAGGGAAGGAGGAAGGCGAGGGAGGCAGCGCCGGGGCTCGGGAGGGAGGCGGCCGCGCTCCGGGCGAGGGGTTAACCCCTCTGCAGGAGGGATTGCTCCCCGCACGCCCTGCGCCCACGAGTGGCCGCAGGCGTGTGCCTACCTGGCGTGGGCGATCGCAGTGGTTGCTGTCGACAGAGGTGAAAAAAAACTCACCTAGAGAGGAGTTTATTTCTAGTTGTTGCAATATAGTCTTTCCACTCTACCAGCACGTTCAGGGTCTGGTTGGTTGGGTTGGTTGGTTGGGTGTTTTTTTTCGTTTTTTTTTTTTTTTTTTCCCTTCGAACGAAATTTTCCTTTATTCCCGTCCAGATATTTTGCCAGGGGTAACTCACCCTGCCTCAGTTTCGTGTTGCGCCTGCTCTCTTGGAAACGGTCTGCAT